AGTTACGTGATCTGAAAGGTTACTTCTTCACAATTAACCTTTCGTTGAGTATGCACAGTGGGAATTTGTTTTTACGCCTTTAGATAATTTTGCACGTAATGTTTGCTCTTTTGAAATGTTAGTAGTTCTAAGTGAGGATATGAATGCAGTAAAGTAAAAGAATAGAGAGAGTTTTTATAGTGGTTCGACCAACTCAGTCTACTCCACTCTTTTCCTTTAAACTCCAAAGGAGGTTTGCACTAATCCCTTTAGTACAAAAAGAACACTCATGCCTTGGACACCAAGCCAGCCTTGAGTTTCTTAGGTTTTTCAACTCCACACGAGTTTACTTAGCCTCTTTCTACTCCTATCGAGTAGAGATACAAGTTGTCAAAAGAAAAATTCTTTGATTATCCAACTAGAAGACTTTGGTCTTTGATGTTGAACTTGATCTTCACTTGAACAACACAAACTTCTATTCTGTATTTCCTTGTTTAAGCTCTAACTCTCTCACACTGGTCACGTAAATGAAACTTGAAAGCGTCTGAATCAATTGGATATTTTCTCTTTTTCGACCAGCACCTTCTTCAGCATTAAATGAAAGTATTTATAGGCGTTTTGAAATGAATCCGTTGGAGGGAAGTCATTTCGAACATCTCTTAACCATCGAGTAATGACCAACGTGTAAATCAAAAGGTTTCTTTATGTGTCAGATTATCCAGCCGTTAGACTAACTTTTTAGCTGAATTTCATTTTTGTTCTACTCCTTTTGTCTAGGCTTTTTAAGAAAAATCTTCCTTGGGATGTGTACCTCCTTTTGCCTTGATCATATTTTCTCATAAAGCTCTTGTGTTTGAGGTTTCGAACTGTTTGCTCAGAAATAGTTAACTCTTACCATTCGAGTTAATGCTTCGAACCTTAACACTCATAACCTTTCGGTTTCGAATAGTTATCTTTACTATTCGAACTCCTTCTTATAATCCCCTACTATTCGAAAGGTAGGCCCTTCCACTATTTGGCCTTTGCAACATTTCGGTCTTGAAATCTTTTGCCCTTCGACTCATTGATTCTTCATCTCGAACTCTTCTGGTCTTCAACACTTCGAAGTTCTTTCTTTTGACTATCCGTAACGTAACTATTCGAGTCATGCCTTAGGTTATACTAATAAAGGACCTAAGGCATGTCCTATTTGTGAAGATGAAACATCCAATCTATGGTTGAGTAACAGTAAAAAGAATGTGTTCATGAGTCATAGGACATTTCTTCCAATTGATCATCCTTATCGAAAGAAGAAAAATACTTTCAATGGGAAATCAAAGACTGGAGTAGCTCGTTTGCTTTTATCTAGACATGCGATTTATGAACATGTTAAAAATGTTGATGTTGCTTTTGGAAAAACGTGTAAAACTACTCAGAAGACTCACTGGAAGAAGAGGTTTATATTTTGTGATCTACCATATTGGAAGCATTTAGCTGTTAGACATTGTCTTGATATGATGCATATTGAGAAGAATGTTTGTGACAACATTATTGGTACACTGTTGAACATTCAGGGAAAGACAAAAGATGGTATTAAAGCTAGCAAGGATATAGTTGAAATGAGAATACGGGAGAAGTTAGCACCACAAGAATCGGGAAAAGCAGATATGGGACTAAAAACGAAGATCGGACGAATGCAAGTCCATCCATAGGCAGAACTCAATTAGGGTTTCAAAATCTCTTGAATGATCTGATGGTCGCGGTTAAAAAAAGACGAACCACACATATGTAGATCTTCGTCTTGTCGAATTAAGGGTTTAAGACATACATTTCAGCTACACTATCGGATTGGAAAGAACAGATTAGAACAATGGATGATAGGAGGTAAGAAGAGCTGATAGAAGATAGGTGAACCATACACGTGAGTTGGGAATCTCTTCGCGTATAGAATGTTCAAGACAGAGACTATGCATACATTCACTTCTATCCGCTCTGATTCAATGGGTCAGGTTTGGGTTATAACATGGGTTTGTATCTTTGGTCTGGCCTGATACAAAATAATATATTACCAATGTTGGGTTAATTCATTTTAAATCGCATATCAATTTATTATTTGTTATATTTATGTGAAGAAATATTTTCAAAACATATTCTAAAACATTATTACAGGCATGTATATATTTATCATAATAATAGATTGCTTTGAGTTTTTGGGTTCCTTTTTTTTTTTAGGAAAAAAAATATAATTCTATAATTACCTATCATTATTCGTAGGACCAAGGCACATCATCAACAATGCGTTGAATATCCTCTTCATGGTAAAAACGGAATAAATACCTTATGGGATGTAGTTCCCTAACATTCATGCCGAGGGCCGGCTTCCACATGGCATCTATAGTATCTCAGAAGAAAGTAAACTTAATTAATAGACTTTGCTGTCAGTAGTCGACCAACCGCGTAAAGCTTCGTCTCCCCGTCCGTCGATTCCACAGGGAGAACCCCAACCTGTTGAACTCCATCGCCATCATCAAGATCCGCCAGGGTTAACGTCGTCATCGACGTGAGAGTAGTATCAGAATCCATAACAATCAATCAAAGACACAAAGATGAAAAAAGAGCAAAGCACTCACTTAGGGAGGGAAGGAAAAGCTCGCCTAGAGAGCGAGAGGAAAAAATTTTATTTATACATCCATTATAATAATTAATCTTACAAATCTTATATGTAAAATAGAACCAACATATGTCTTATGTAAAAAGTTTTTTAAATTAATAATTCTTATTATCATAACATAACAACAATACTTATACTTTTTGATCGTGTATTGCATGGGACATTGGTATTAATACTCTACTAATTTTGAAGTTTCACATTTGAAATTTTATATCATTTATTTTTTTCTCATTTAAAAATAAATAATCATTTATTTATTATATATAGTTTTATATCCTAATTTTTAAAATTTGGTATAAAAATGTATAAATAAATATATGTGTGTGTGTGTGTCTAATAACACAATGTTTTATGAAATATGCTAATAGTATATTGTGATGTTCAATATAACAACCAATTTAGTATTGCCAAAAGAAAAATATATTTCATAATGAATTTTAATAATTGATGTTTGATTTTCATTTTTAAAAAATTATCAACAATAAAATTGCTTAAATTTTATACCGTGCATCGCACGGAACACATACTACTAATATATTTATAACAAGGTTGAGTTTTTTTTTCTCATTTTTCTTCCTAAATTGAGTCATATAACTAGAGTATTTTTTTTTTCATATAAGTTGAGTAATATTTATGGAATTACTTTTTTATTTTGAAAATCTAATAATCACTTAATTAAATTAGAGTTTTGATTTCAACATTCAACAACAATAGAAATCCTCATTTAATAACTGATAGATCAGTGTGGACATTCACCGATGAACTATATAACAGTCACATGTTAAACTATGTACTTCTTAGATGACATAGTTGCATTATAATCTTTTTGATTGTCAACTCAGTACTTATGACATACTCTTAAGTGTCACTTATAAGTTTTAAATAAATTATAAAATATGTTCAATGTTAGTTTGACTGTGAACTTAAAAAGTCACACATTTTTGGTTAATATTCAATTAATTCTGATGGATATATTAGGAAAATGGATGCGGGGCACAATCCGACCCGGGGTGGTGGCGTGACACGAGAGGCCTTGGGGACCCCGAACGGGGTCCCTAGCGTGGACCCTGGCGTGGATCTCGGGCGAGGACTTCTAAGTGGACCTCGGGAAAGGACTACTGCGGGGACCTCGGGCAGGGACTACTGTGAGGACCTCAGTTGGGGACCCCCCACCGGGGCCTCCCCGCGGGACTCGGTCAACTAAGATCCAACCGCCCGCCCTATTCTCTTGGGGTCAGTTGGGAGAACTATTTAGTATAAAAGGGCGCATCCTTGCCTTATTGGGACATCTACTTCCTATTATTATTACCATATTTATCATGTAATTCTCCTGAAAGCATTATCAATACAAAGGTGTTCCCGCGACACACATTCAGCGTATTTCCCAATCCCTTATCTATCGGGTTTAGTGATTCGGGTCTACCCCGGGTTAATTAAATCTATCATTGGTGTTCTTGCTGAGAGTTGAAATACAAGCTCGAGCGTGCTCCATATTCCACGAACTATGACAAGGTCGAGGTCCAACTCTCGCGGCTCCCGTAACACCCATGCCTCCTCGACTAGGGGTGGCCTCAACGGGACCACTAGCTAGCCACAAGTCCCATCTTTGAGGTCGGCGGGTGACCTCAGAGACCGCCTCAACAACCACTGCAACGACACAACAGCTGCCCGTCCTCCCCCGGATCCTTCCCTCTTCCGGGAGGGGGCGGCCGCCCTCCAACAGGCCTCAGTGACATTGGACCGCCTCGCGCGGAGGCTCCAAGAAAGTGTTCCGGACGGCCAGGGGGCCGCCCAAAGGGCCCTAACCCCGCCTCCAGCACCCTCGAGGGGTCGTAGCGGCCCGAGCCGGCCACCCCACGCCCGTGCCGCCCAGACGGAGGGGGAAGTTAACTCGCCCCGCCCCTCGGACAGGCGGGGGGGGGGGGGGGGGGGAGATAGCGTCCGCTTGGATCAGCATCGAGATGCGGAGAGAGGTCGTGGGAGGTCGGCCCCAGCCAGGCCCGCCCTGGAGAGGTTGGGCACCCGCATATCTGCCCGGGATAGGTTGGGCCCAAGGCCTCTCGCCGCCAACGGACCGCTCGCAGCAGGGTCGTGCTCACGAAGGTCGCCCAGCAGGAGGCCCCGAGCCCCGCCACGACAGGAGTCCCATGCGGGACGATCGCCAAGCCGGGGACCCCGTGTCCTGGCGCGGCAAGAGAAAAACTCCCGGGCCGAGCGGTCGGGGGAGTCGAATGGTCGAGCTCCGAGCTCCCATCGCGAAGAGGTCGAACAACTCCGTAGACGGGTGGACGAGCTTCAGAAGAAAATCAACGACAGGGACGGGTCCCTAGAGCCCTTTGATGTCCTGACTACCCCGTTCACGAGGGACATCATGGATGAACCCCTCCCCGCGAACTTTCGATTCCCCGCCATCCAAGCATACTCGGGGACGACCGACCCGCGTGAGCACCTGAACAGGTACAGCGACGCTATCATGTGCCGGGGTTTCCTATCGACCCTAGACGGCCACGCTCAGGATTGGTGTGGGTCCCTGCCAGAGGGGTCCATCTCGACCTTCGCCGTCCTCACCAGGCGTTTCATGTCATACTTCGCTGGCCACATACGGAAAAAGAAGCAGTTCGCCGACCTATGTTTTTTGAAACAGAGGGGTTTGGAGTCCTTGGCCGACTTCCTCAGCAAGTGGAAGAAGGAGTCGATAGGGATCTCCAACTTCGACGACAAGGCGGCAATACCCATCTTCAGAAGCAACCTCAGACCCGGCCCCTTCCATCAGGACCTCATCCGATACACCCCCAAGACCTACACCGAGTTGATGGACCGCGCATCTAGGTTCGCGGACGCAGAGGTAGCCGAGAAGAAAAAGAAGGAAGAGGAAGAGGGGAAGGATCGTAAGGGCAAGGAGCCTCGAGAAGAGCGCCAGGCACCAAGGCTGCCCCGGCGCGAGGCCCCTCAGGAAGACCGCCGGGCACCCAGGCCTCCCCGCCGTGAGTATGCCGAGGGGCCCAGGTTGACCCCCACGCGTTTTCTCACCCCGCTGACGCATCCAGTCAGCACAATCCTGGAGCATGCGGAAGGCCAGGGGATCGTGGAATACCCGGGAGAGTGCATGAAGATATCCCCAAAGGTAGACCACAACAAGTACTGCAAATTCCACCGGCAGTCAGGGCATGACACGGACGAGTGCATCCTCCTCAAGCGGCAGATCGAGGAGCTCATCCAGAGGGGCTATTTGGGTCAGTTCGTGCAATGGCCTGGACAGGGCCAAGGTCAACATCAATGCCGCGTGTGGAGGAAGGGAGGCAGCTCCGAGCCCTCCACCTCCGTACCGCGCAAAAGGGAGCTCGGCCAGCTCACCGACGAGGAAGAAAGAGAACTAGACAACCCCCACCCCCAGAAGAAACAGGCCATCCATGTGATCTTTGGGGGGCCTGAGGGGGGGGGGGGGGACACGCCCGCAGAGAGGAAGAAATGGGCACGGAGCCTCTATGTGGGCGAGGTCGTACGACCCCCACACGAGAAGAGGCCCCGGAGGGAGCCCATCACCTTCACCGACGACGACCTCCCAGACGGCCCCCTCCCTCACCGAGACGCCTTGGTGGTCAAGATGGAGATCAATGAGGTGGTCGTACACAGAGTATTGGTGGACACAGGCAGCTCGGTGAATGTAATGTACCACGACACATTCACCCAGTTGGGGTTATCAAGGAAGTAGCTAGGGCAAGTGAGGACCCCCTTATCCGGGTTCACGGGGGACTCCATTGAGACAGAAGGATCAATCAACCTCACGGTCGAGATAGGCGCCCCCCTCACACCAAGAGGTGGGAAGTAGAGTTCGTGGTGGTCAAAATCAGCTGCGCCCACAATGTAATCCTAGGCCGACCCGCACTTGAGGACCTCAGGTGCGTGATCTCCATGGAACACCTATGCCTCAAATTCCCCACGCCAACCGGGGTCGGGGTCGCCCGAGGAGACCAAAGAATCAGCCGAAGCTGCTACCTCCGGGCATGCAGACAGATAGGCAAACGGGATCTCCAGGTACACACCATAGCTGAAAAGGTGCTAAAGGAGGAGGAGGGACGCCCGCGAGCCGAGCCTATAGTGGAGACAGAAGAGGTCGTTCTGGACCTCAGCCACCCCGACCATGTGGTGAAGGTGAGAACCGGGCTACCCACCGAGCTTCGGTCCCGCATCATCAACGCCATCAGAACCTACAGGGAGGTATTCGCGTGGGGACCCGAGGACATGCCGGGACTCAGCAGGGACGTCATCACCCACAGGCTCGCCGTCGACCCCACTATCAAGCCGGTGCAACAACACAAGAGATACCTCTCCGCGGAAAGGAGGGAGTTCGTGAGAAAGGAGGTCAACACCCTCCTCGAGATCGGGCACATACGAGAGGTCCTATACCCCAGATGGCTAGCCAATGTAGTCCTCGCCCCAAAACCACCTACCTGGAGGATGTGCGTGGACTACACCGACCTCAACAAGGCCAGCCCCATGGACCCTTTCCCACTACCAAATATTGATCAGCTGGTAGACGAGACAGCAGGCTGCACCCTCATGAGCTTCCTGGACGCCTTTCGGGGGTACCACCAGATCTTTATGCACGAAGACGACGAGGAGAAGACGGCCTTCACGACTCATGAAGGAGTCTTCTGCTATCGAGTCATGGCTTTCGGGCTCAAGAAATCCGGGGCTACCTACACGCGGATGGTGGCCAAGGTCTTCAAACAGGTCCTAGGCCGCAACATGGAGGCCTACGTGGACGACATGATAGTCAAAAGTGCGAAGGCGGAGGACCACGTCGATGACCTCGTCGAGGTATTTTCCATTATGCAGCATTTTGATTTAAGGTTGAATCCCAAGAAGTGTACTTTTGGGGTGCATGGGGGGAAGTTCTTGGGCTACATGGTCTCAAAGAGGGGTATTGAGCCCAACCCCGACAAGGTCAGGGCCATCCTGGACATGGAGCCCCCAAGATCTCTCCGAGAGGTCCAACGCCTAAACGGCAGGCTAGCGGCCCTCGGCCGGTTTCTCTCACGGTCGGCCGAGAGGTCCCTTCCCTTCTTTGCTGTCCTCAAGAAGAGTACTGGGTTCGAGTGGTCCCCCGACTGCCAGAAGGCCTTTGACGACCTCAAGGCCTACCTGATGTCGCTACCCCCGCTGGCCAAACCCGAGAGAGGGGAGCCCTTATACCTGTACTTGGACATATCACAGGCCGCGATCAGCTCCGTGCTGGTCTGGGATGACGCGGGCATACAACGCCCCGTCTACTACGCGAGTAGAGCCCTCCGAGGAGCCGAACTCAGGTACTCCCCCACAGAAAAGGCTATTTTTGCAGTGGACGTAACCGCGAAGAAACTACATCACTATTTTCAGGCTCATCCCGTCCATGTCTTGACAAATCAACCCCTGGAGTCTGTGCTGAGGGCTTCGAGACCGTTTAGCAGGTTAGTGAGGTGGTCTATGCACTTAAGCCAGTACAACATCCAGTTCAAGCCGCGACCTGCTATCAAAGGGCAGGCACTTGCCGACTTCATAGTAGAATGCACCGCCCGGGAGGCCTCGGAGCAGGCCCGAAATGAGGAAGAAGAATGGTGGACCCTGTCCACAGACGGGTCCTCCAGTGCCAAAGGTTGCGGAGGCGGGGTTGTCCTCATAACCCCTGAGGGCTTCCGGGCTTACTATGCGCTCCGTTTCCACTTCAAATTGTCGAACAACGAGGCCGAGTACGAGGCCCTTCTAAGGGGTCTTCGGCTCGCACTAAGCATGAATGCCGAGAAGCTAAGAGTGAGGTGTGACTCCAGGCTGGTGGTAGGCCAGGTTACGGGTGAGTTCGAGGCCAACGAAGACAGGATGAGAAGGTATCGAGACGTGGTATTACAACTCCTGAGACAGCTGATACACCACGAGGTCCTACAGGTGCCGAGGGAGCAAAATGCAGATGCGGACATGCTCACCAAACTCGGCCAGGGGGTCCCCGAGCATGTTTCCAGGATTGCCCGAGTGGAGGACCTAATGAAGTCTAGCCTGGAGGCCTACCTGGTCCTTCCCGTGCAGGCCCGACCTGCTTATTGGTTAGACCACCTGAAGGAATACAAGAAGACGGGCAACCTGCCCTCAGATGAGGCGGACGCCAAGTGCGTACAGAGGAGGGCCCCAACCTACCTGCTTGTTGGGGACATACTCTACAAGCGGTCTTACAATGGCACCTTGATGCGCTGTTTGTATCCCGACGAAGCAAGATCGGTCATAGAGGACATCCACAAGGGTACCTGCGCAGCCCACCAGGAACCCCACACCATGGCCCGGAGGGCGATCTTACAAGGTTACTTCTGGCCCAAGATGGGGAAAGAGTGCGCGGAATATGCGAGGAGTTGTCCAACCTATCAACAATGGCAGAACGGCCCGGGCCGACCGGCCACCAACTATACCCCGATCAGCTCGGTCATCCCTTTCTCCAGGTGGGGGGTTGACTTAATCGGGGCCCTCCCCATGGGTTCTGGAAAGAGGAAGTACCTGATAGTGGCAGTGGACTACTTCACCAAATGGGTGGAGGCCGAGCCCTTGGCCAGCATCACAAGTGCTAGGTGCAAGCAGTTCATATATAAGAATATATTGTGTCGCTTCGGAGTCTCGATATAGATCATCACAGACAACGGTCGCCAGTTCGAGAGCAAAGAGTTTAGTGAGTTCTGCGCCCAGTGGCACATAACGCACACCCGTGTGGCTGTCTCCTACCCCCAGGCCAACGGACAAGTCGAGAATGTCAACCGCACCATTGTAGATGGTCTACAAAAAATCTCGAATCAGCGAAGGGAGCGTGGGTAGAGGAGTTGGACGTCGTCCTGTGGACCTACCGCACTACCCCGAGGAGGGCCACGGGGGAGACCCCATTCTCCTTATCCTACGGCTTCGAGGCTCGGGCGCCCGCCGAGGTGGCCATACCATCCTATCGAGCTCAGGTGTACAACCCTGACCAAAATGAGGACAACCACGGTATAGAGCTCCACTTCATCGACGAGAGGAGGGAAGCCGCGACTGTCCGTGCCGAAAATTACCAGCGCCAGGCCAAGACCTATCATGACAAACGAGTCAGGCCTCGTTATTTCCAGGTTGGGGACTACGTCTTGAGGAGGCGCGAGGCAAGTCAGCCCCTCGAGGGAGGCAAATTCGCCAAGAAATGGGAAGGCCCGTATGTAGTCACAGCCGTGGTCCGTCCGGCAGCTACAAGCTCAAGACACCAAAGGGCAAGGCGATAGATAGAGTCTGGAACTCCGAGCACCTACTCAAGTATTTTCAGTAATTCCTTTATCATGTAGGGTGGCCCGCCCCCCTTTTTTCCCGTTCGATCATATCAATAAATGCAATAAATACTTCACCACGAATGTGCTCGGCTATCCGGGGAGGAGGTCCCCATCCGGTGTCCCCAACCATTCTAAAGGGGCGCGAGGTCCGACCTCGCGTACTAACCCCGACGGAAGAGTCCAACAGCCCAAGTCCGATGACTTGAGGCCGACAGACGGCCCTAAGGGGTCACGAGGCCCGACCTCGCGTACTAACCCCGACGGAAGAGTCCAACATCCCAAGTCCGATGACTTGAGGCCGACGGACGGCCCTAAGGGGTCACGAGGCCCGACCTTGCGTACTAACCCCGACGGAAGAGTCCAACAGCCCAAGTCCGGTGACTTGAGGCTGGCGGACGGCCCTAAGGGGTCACGAGGCCCGACATCGCATACTAACCCCGACGGAAGAGTCCAGCAGCCCAAGTCCGATGACTTGGGATTGACAGGCTACCCTCTAGGGCGCACGAGCCCCGGCCTCGTGCACCTCCTTTAAGAGGGGTGTTTGGAACGAGGGGGACTCTCAAAGGAGCCCCCCAAAAAAAAAAAAACAAAGCAAAACAAAAAAAAACAACAACAACAATAACAATATAGGCGAAAACAATATATATATCCGAAGCAAGCATATAAAATCCACAAAGTGACGGTCCCGGACCCAAAGCAAACAAGTTCGGCATACATAGCAAAACTCAAAATAAATAAGGACCTACACCCCGACTAAGGGGCACCCTCGGTGTGAGTAGCCTCCGACCGCTCCGCCCCCTGGGGCCGCCGTGGGGTCCCCTGCTTGAGAAGATCCGGCGGCCAGAGAAGTCTGCGCGGGGTCCGGGGTGGCATCGACCTCAGTTCGTGCCTGCTCCTGGGAGTACGACCTAGGCTCCTCGGCCTCGGGGTCCACGACCTCAGCTGGTAAGCCCCACGCCTCGGGAGTAAATCCCTCATCCCGCTGACGAAGAACCTCATAGACATCGCGCTGCGCGGTGTAATAACCCAGGTTATAAGAGAACACCCCCTCCTCTGCTAGCCTCGCCTGGCCGGGGCCCGTGGAAAGCCAAGTAGTCACCATGGTCTCCAAATGCTCATCAGCGTAGGCTTTCAAGTCACGGCGAAAGCCTTCAGACCTCTTGTAGTTGCGGACGGCATGGATGATCTCCTCTGAGTGCCTCTTCTTCAGAGCCTCGGAGTCTTGCGCCATCTTGTGGTTTTCCTCTTGCTTAGCCTCCAATGCCTTCTTCAAATCATCCACCTGCTTGTTGGCCTCTTGTGCTTGCGCCCTCGCGAACCCGAGCTCCTCGAGTGCAAGAGAACTCCGGAGAAAATCCTGCAAAAAGGGGGGTAAGAAACACGCGACAATATCACGGGCAAACAC